GGACGGACCTGCGTGGCTGTCCCCCGGGAGACGTCTGAGGAGTGGGGTCCGGAGTTTCTGGCCTTTGCTGTGATTCCCCTGGTCTCCCTTTTCAGGACACCTGACACACCCCACTCCTCCTTTCCTGTCTCCTCTCTTCTCTGCTCCTTTGCACCGCAGCTGCAAAGTGCTCCCTCATGCCCTGAGTTTATAGGAAGCTCAGAGCAGAGAGAAATCCCACGAGTTTGGAACCATTTCACACCCGAAGACACTACCTGTCTATTGAATCGGTCAGGGGTGTGTAGCGTGGGGATGCAGAGGAAAACAACCTGTAGCTTCCCTCTGACTTCAGAAAGAATGGCTCTCATCAAGATAGGAAGGGGTTGGGCCAGGGATTTAGCTCAGGGGTTCGGTGGCCTGCTTTGCAAGCACAAGGACCTGAGTCCAATCCCAAGTACTAAAAAAAAAAAAAAAACACAGCAAAAGTTCACCCATGCTGGCCAGGCTACTTGGAGAAAGGAAGCCTTCCACATTGCTAGAAGGAGTGTCGGTGCCTCTGCCAGCTATGCACATCCGGATGGGAGGCCTCCCAACCAGAAAGCAGAAATTCCTTTGGAGCCAGTGATACATCTTACAAGAATGAGTTCAAATCATCCTTGGGCTTGGGCGGGGCACGGATGGGCGGGCACTGGTGTCTGGAGAGTACTTAGCCTCCCTTGCTGCTCTCCTCACCACTCAGCCTGGGGCCTCTAGCACCAAGCTTCTCTGACTGCCCACCTAGTGCAACCGCGAGCCCAGAGTCTTGAAACCACCAGTGCCACCAGGGCCATGGAGGACGTGGAAAAAGAACACATCTCAAACCTGCTGCTGCTTAGCTTCATCCAAACCTGCACTCACCACAGTTTCCACGTAAAGCTGGAGGCAATGGCCCAGGGACTGGGTCTGCAAACTTCTGTGAATGAGAATGCGATGCTGCTCTATGGGCCCAGCCAGCCCTGGGTGACAAGGGCAGCAGTGGTGAGACTGGGCGCAGCACTCGCCCGTTGTAGGGAGAGTGTGTTAAGCACAGTGGATCTTGGACCCATGAACGAGGTGGCTGAGATTTTGGTGAACCCAATTCTGTCAGAGAGTGACAGAATACAATGTTTGGATGCCAGGCTACAGCGAATACTCGTGCACGGACCTGAACACCACAGGAATGAAAGGGTTTTGTTGATACTGACCATGCACATGGCCAAAATGTTGGCTGAATACATGCCGGATCTGCTGCCAAAAATCTTTCAGTTGTTTGGGAAACTTACCCAGAAACGCTTCCCCTGCGTGGAGACTTTAATCCCGAACAATGAGATGCACTGAATGGATGGCTTTGCAGAAGCTCACCTACCCAGAGCCTCACTTGGGAAGGCCTTGGAGCTCGCCCACAGGGGAAGGTACTCTGGTCATGTGCGGGGATGGTGTTGAGCAGACCAGCCCTGAACAGCAGCCTTTCCTTGCTTTCTTCACCACAGTGCGTTAAGCTGGCTGCCCTCTGAGAAAAGTCTACACGGATGTACTTGGACGATACCATGAAAATGAAAGTCATGGATGAATTTTAATAGGTGTTCCTGGCACTTTCTACCTCTGCACTTTGTGCCTTGTTGTGTTTTCAGCTTCCTGCAACCTCAGCACATAGGTGTGGAGCCTTTTCAACTTGATTTCCCTTCCCATGGGTCAAGAAGGACCAGAGGCAATCAGAAGGATGAAGGTGACACAAGGGCCCATGGCCACCGCTCTTTCCAAGGCAGAGGCCCTTTCCTCTTTCCAGTCCCTCAAGGCTCTGAGAAAGACGTGGAGCCAGTGGGGGCCAGCAGCTCCTGCAGACGGCCCCTTCACAGCCTTGAATCTTCATCTTTCCAGCAGGGCCCTCAGCTCCTCCATGTCCATCAGCTGCAGAGAACTGGCTTCCTGCTTCAAGGAACAAACCCCTCTGAGACCTCAAATTCTGCCCCTAAATGATCCCCATTCCTGGGGACCTTGTCATGATCAAGGGCAGATCCAGCTGGCTTAGGAAAGGCCACAGTCACCAAAGGTGAAGCTTCACTGTAGAAACAGCATAGCCCTGGCCTGTGACTCCTGCCTGGAAGACCCTCTGAGGATTTGGTTTGCAAGGGTGGGTGCTGGGTCCGTGTCATGTGAGTCGCCTCAACCTGTAAGCCCTTGTGATAGTGAGTAGGGTTCTTGGCACAAGCTGATGGTCTAGAGGCAGGATGTCTCATAAACAATTTTTTGTTACCTACAAATCAATAAAGAAATTTAAAAAGCTCAAAGGGCTGAATGTGTCCAGTTTGGTTCTGTCTCCTCTATTCGGTTCCTTTGATCTGCATATGTGGCTTTGTCCAGATATGGTTTTTCCTTTTCTGGGTCTCTTCTGATTGTAAGTGAATTTAAAGACTGTTTTCTTGATTTCGTTTCATTTTGGTTTTTTTTTTGAGACAAGGTCTCACTATGTCCTTGAGACTGAACTGGAACTCACTATGTAGTCCAGGCTGGGCTGTAACTCACAGTGACCCACCTGCCTTTTCTTGCTATCTTTTTTTTTTTGATATGGGGATTGAACTGGGGTCCTTTCCCTTGCAAGGCAGGCTACCAAACTGCTGAGCTGAATCCCTGGCCCCTTCTCTTGCTATCTTGACCGTGGCCATTCTTTCTGAACTGAGGTGAAATCTCAGTGTTTCTTTAACTCCCATCTCTCTAATGCCAGAGATGTCAGGCAGTGTTCAGGGATGTTTTGGCTATTTGGAGTCCTCATGAACTTTTCTGCTCATCCCACTTGCGTATGGTTTCAATGGATCTTTTACTTTGGAGTATTTGGGTTTGTGTTTGTTTGTCTGTTTGTGTCTGTGTGTGAGTTTTCTATGCTCTATATTGTATTTTATTTGTTTGTTTATTTCTTTCTTTATTTATTTTTTGCTCTATATTTTAGTTAGATGACTGAGGAGTGGCTGGTAAGAGCTTTTGCCCATTCTGTAGCTTGTGTCTTCAATGTATTTGGAATTTTGTTCGTGCTCACAAGCTTTTGTTTTTTGTTGTTTCCGCTACTGGGGATGGGAAGCAGGACCTTGGGCTTGGGAGGCAGGCACATGCCACTGAGCTAAATCCCCAGCCCTTCCTGGCTCAGAAGCTTTTTAATTGGATATACTCCCACTTGCTACCTCCTGGTGCTCTTACTGGTGTGTGCAACTTGGATTCTGTTCATCAAGTCCCTGCCCGTGTCTGTGACCTGCAGAGATTTACCCATTTTCTTTGTTGATTAACATTTTATAAAATCCTACAACTTTATTTATGTATGACAGCACAGTGTTTTCCATATCTTAAGTGCACAATGTATAATACTACATTTATTATCACTAATGCTATCATCTCTCTAACCTGTGCCCAACAGAATGTGTCACCTTGGGCAATTAACCACTTTGATTAAAGATCCCATGGCTGAGGGTGTCCGGTGTTGTCTCTGCGTCCTCCCTGTGATCCACTGATGAACGCGCCTGTTGTTGTGCTCATGCCAGGCTGTTTTTATCACTGTAGTTTGGTAGTATACCTGCCTTTGGAGACAAGGTCTGGGCACGTAGCCCAGGGTGGCCTTGAACTTGCAGTCATCCTGCCCTCACCTCTCAAATGCTGGCAGTGCAGATGAGCCCCACAACACACAACTGACCTTATCTTTTGCTAGGCTTCTAAGTGTTCTATTTTGTTTTGTTTTATTTTAATTTTACTTGTTTATTTCTAGGGATACTGCTTGGATCCTGGTGATTTCAAGGTAGTGGCTGGAGCTCCTGAGCTAAATTTCTAGCCCCAGCATTCTATTTCAAATACATACAAAACATACCAAATTTATCTATGTCAATGATTGTCACTGTCCCTGCTCTTTCCTCTGACCTGGTATGTGCCCTCCTAGCCTGTGAATTTGTGTTCTGCATAAAAGCCTCCTCTTGGGCCAGGGATGTAGTTCAGAGGCACCATGGCTGTGGGCAAGCTCAAGGAGCTGATTTCAGTGCCTGGGACCAAAGAAAAAAACAAAACAGACCAACAAACAAAAAAATAAAACTCCTTCTTCTTAGCCACCTTCTCTGTGAATTGTCCCTGTCTCTGGACAGACTCTTGGTTGCGTCATCCCATGCCCACAAATTTTGTTCACACATTGACTAAACATGTTTTTTCAGTGTATCATACTCACTTCATTACTAAAGCGTTCCTACAGCCTGGTTTTCTCCTGAATATCTCTGAAAAATGGGCCTATGTTAAAGGTCCTTCAGGCCCCTTGACCGTGGCTGTAGAGCACAGTGACTTTGGAGGGACAGGATGTGGTGGGCTGACAGCCACAATTATCTGGACCATCTGAGGTCTTTGACGGTGCAGTTACCCTAGCCTTGCTATGGAACCTGCCATCCTGGCGAACGACAGGTACACAGCCTTGTGAGAATGTCTCACTTTAGGTAGGGGACCTCCAGCCTCCACCAAGCCAAGAGCTAAAGGTGCTATGAGGCAGCAAAGGAAGCCGGGAGTGATGGAAGATGCCTGTCGTCTCAATGCTGGGTGGCTGAGGCAGGAGTGTGAGGGTCAGTTCAAGGACAGCCTCGACTGCATAGGGAAACTCTGTCTAACAAGCCAATCACAGAGGTCTAGAAGCAGAGACTCTCTTTCATGTGGTCACGTGCAAGGTATTGCCGTTCCACTGAGCTTACTCCCCAGCCCTCTTTTTCCTCCTTCTGAGAAGGGGTCTCACTGCATATCTTGCGCAGGTCACGAACTCGCTATATCCCGGAGCCTGGCCTCCAACTCACAGCGATCCTCCCGCAGCAGCCTCTCTAGTGCGGGGATCACACTCATGCACCACCACGCCTGGCGTCCCGGTGTGGACTCTCAATCCTATCTCTAATAGGAAGGCACGAACACAGTCACAGAGAAGTCCTGTCTCCTCTCTGTCCAGTCTAGTAGCAGCAAGAACAGAAGCTTGTTAGGCACATTCATCTGCTAGCCCAGGAACTAAGGGAGGAGGCTTTCTCTGCCTGTCCTCTCCTGTCTGCCCTCGTGGCTCAGCCACGCAAGTGCTGGATAGGGAGTGCCGCCCTCCAGCACAAGCACAAGCCCTACACTTCAACCTCCTATTTTCTAGCTCTAGAAGAACCTCGGGGAAAGGGTAATAAGGGAAGAGAAAAAAATGTGAGATAATGAAAAGATGAAAATAAAGTGTTTGATGATGGGGAGGGGAGGAGCGGGTGAACGGAGAGCAGGGGTAAGGGGAAAAAATGAGAATCAAGACTTCTCATGTAGAGGTACAAGATCCCAACAATAAATGTAACTGTACTGTATACCTAAAATGTACCAATAAACTCAATTAGAGCTGAGAAAAAACAAAACAAAAAAACAAAGAACCTCGGGGGTGATGGCTCTGGAGATGCAATGTTTTTCTCTGCCTTTCTCAGTGCTGATGGTTCAGCCCCGCATCTATGGCGTGCTACACCAGTCTCTGGCCACTGAGCTTCATCCTCAGCCCAGAGACTCATCTCCCAAGATGCCCCGCTTGCAGATCTTGGTGACTATGGCATGGGCTGAGCCTGGCCAGCATGATTCCACCCCCACCCCACTCCACTGGGCCTGGTTGGGTAGGGCTCTGCTCCCTGACCAAGCCTGGAAAGTTGGCCACTTAAGAGCTCTAAAGCTGGAGGCGTGGGGTGCACATCTGTCATCCCAGCAGTCTGGAGGCTAAGGCAGCAGGATCACAGGAAGCTCAAGGCCAGCCTGTGCTTGGTTCAGACACCCTGTCTCAAAAAAAAAAAAAAAAAACCCAAACCAGATGCCAAACACCCAACGGACAAACAATCCCCCAACCAAAATGTTCAAACAAACACAAAACAACCTTACATGCTTGAGGGCTAATCCCTGGCTAATGAGACCAATGAATCTCTTCCTCAGGGTTTTCTGACTAAACTTGGAGGCAAATGTATTTCTCCACGGAAAACATCCACAACAAGAAAAAGGCAGCAGAAATTGATTTGTCTTCGTTTGCCAGGTACACAAAGATGTCAAACACAGGGATTCCTTTAGAAACAAATCTCCAGGGAGCAACAAGCATTCCCACCTGGGGGGAGGAAACTGGTGAATGCTGCAGGCTGGGTGGCTCAGGGGGCGATGCTCAGTACGGTGAGGGCAGTGTTGTGTCCCCAGCATGGAAAACTGACAAGAACGTTTTATAAGCCAGAAGCCAGGGGCAACTGAATGAGGCCACTCAAAAAGGCCCAATCCTGCCGTCGTGGGAAAACCCAGGTCACCCGCGCATGACATAGAACCCACAGAGGCTCGGGCCACGGTGACCAGGC